CAGGAAGCCTGCTTCTCCCTCTCCCACTCCCCCTGCTTGTGTTCCTGCTCTCGCTGTGTCTCTCTCTGTCAAATAAATAAATGAAATCTAAAAAAAAAAAAAAAAAGATCCCGCTCTTTGGGGGATAAGTAGAGCAGAGCATAGTGAGGAATAAGTTGCTTAGATTTTGGCTCAAGTTTAACAGGGAAATATAGTAACTACTTGGGGATTTAGTGTTAAGGTCAGTAAATAGTGGGCAAAGCTATCCTGTCCTCTAGTTCTGTGATGTATCATACCATTCTGACCTGTTGAAACTACTTCAGGCCTCTTCACTGAGGCTTTTACCATTGCCCTGGCATGATGCTTCTGCTTCAACAATTGATGTTCAATGTTTACGTTGTCTTTTAGCACAGGAACTATGGGCAGGCCTTACGTAATATGACAGATGAGAGATGGAGAAAGGAGTTATTTCCAGAGCACCACAAATATGATTTACATGATATCCAGGATCCAGGTTCAGCCGGAGAGCAGGTAGAGCAGAGTGCAGTCAAAAGTAAACAGAAAGTAAATCAGTTAGAGTTTGATCTGGGCTTGCCAGAGCTATGCTTCTAACAACAGTGCTCCTGTTGCTTCTGGTAGTGTTCTCTCTTATTAATACTATTAATAATATGAGTAACAGCTTACATTTGTTAAGCACTTTCCATAACTAAAATAGTTCTAGAACTTTGTATCCATTGTGTCATTTCTCATTCTCACAATAATCTGGGGAGATAGATACTGTGATTATCCTTGTTTTATAGATGAAGAAACATAGGACTGCTTTGTGGATACAGTTAAGATCCATAATAGTGGCAAGGAGTGTAATGTCTACTTTTATGCCATAATGTATGCGACTAATCTAACAGACCTGTATAGAGTATGTCAGGGCTATCCCTGCAGCATTACTAGCATTATGTCACCGCTCACATATTTTGGTGACTGCTTTTGTATTCTTTTAGAGCTTATACTTCAGGCAGCAGCCATCTGTTGGGACAGCTGAAAGATGGCAAGAGGATTTGCTTCTGGACGACCAGCAGCATCTGCCAGCCAAGCACCAGACAGAGGCTTCCAGCAGAAGACAGGTAGAGTATGAGTAATGGAATTTAGGTAGGATTGCAGGCACCTACAGAGCTGGGAGTGGTAAGGCTGAGCAACAAACAGATTCTTGTTTTAGTTCATAGTGTGTAAAATTTGTCCTGACCTAAGATTACTTTAGTGCTCTCCCGAAACCTAGGGTATTGGAAAAACTGTATTTTATATGTGTGTTCTTTATAAGAGGTGTATTTCTAATGGTCATTGTCTTTTATGGCATGAGAGGGGAAGAAATGTGTGGTTTCTGAGGGAGAGGGGTCAGGAGGATCTTCCACCCAATGGCCAGGCCTAGATCTCCATCGATAGGCTAGTAGAGCATAAGACAGGATCACCAAGAAATAAGCTGTTCAGGGTGTAGGCTGGAGCTTATTAGGGTTATATTGCCTAAGCTTCGATGTACTGAGTTAAGATCTATAGTTTTTCAAGAAAACATTACAATAATCTGGCCTCCTAAGATTCCTCCATGGCTTAACTGAAGTCTAGCTTATTCCCACTAGAATTGATCACTGTCTAGATAATTTCTATCTTGTGATTTTATGTTATTTTAACAACAGAGCCTTCAGGCAACCAGTGTTGTTAGGATATATAAAAGAGATAAAGAGACATTTCCTCTTGGCCCTTTTAAGAGAGCAGCAGGAGAAAAGGAGCATAAAGACAGAAAGTAGGATTTGGGCTGAGGTTTTCAGGACTACACTGTAGCTCTTTTATAATTTTTAGTTTGTCTCTATTAGGTTGGCCTAAAGGTACACTGTCGTGTTTTATTCTACATCGTTACTTATATGTCCCGAAGTATGCCAGGCTCTTTCCTACCTCAGGTCTGTTGCATATGTTTTTTCCTTTGCCTGGCTATCCTTCTCTTTTTTCTTCACAAAGCTGGTCTCTTCTCGTCCTTTAGGTTTCAGCTTCAATGTTCTCTCCTTGGAAAAGACCGTCCCGACCACCTTATTAAAAATAGGTCTCCTCGCTTCTGTTTTTCTCTATCCTTGCCTTCTCTTTCCTTCTCACTACACAAAACAATTTGTAATAATTTATTGATTTAGCATGTTTTCCACTGGTCTGTAAGCTTTATGAGGAGAGGTACCACACCTGATGTGTTTACCAGTGTATGGACAGCCTTCGTAGTACAGTGCCTGGTATTGGATAGTCTCTTGCTAAATATGTTTTGAATTAATCAATTAAACATTTATTGAACACCTTGTTAGGTGTTAGCCATTGTTTAGATGCTAAATATCAAAGATACAATTGTGAATCAGACACAGAACTCAAATTTCAGACAATCTAAAGAAGAGAGACTGACACATAAGCAACATAATTAATGGTGGAGGGTGCATAGGGCATTAATTGAGCATGGAAGAGGCATACCTAACTCTCTTTGCTTGAGGGTGCTGCCTTGGTGGTCAGAAGCTCTTCTTCTTGTCCTTCTGCCATACAAGCCTCGATCTCCTGGATCAGTCCTTTCTCCTTTTAGGCTCCTGAAATAATCCCGCCTTATTGGAAAAAACACTTTAACAGTGTAGATTTAGATCACAGTCATACTTTGGGCTTATGGTCACAGCTGCTGTGTCCCCCATGCTGCTTAGCATTTTTCTTGCTTGCCCTTTGTCAGCTCCCTCTCCTATGGCCCACACTAATAATAGTAAATCTTAAATACTTTGTAAAGCTCTTGCTACATCCCCATACTCTCAGACTTTGATGAAGAAAATAGAAGCCATCATGCACTACCTCCCTCAGCCATTTGTTTTTTTGGCATTCTTACCTGTTCCTACTATGTCAGAAGAAGAGTTATCTGTCTTTGGACCATATTCTGGATTCTCTTGCCATCCTTCGGGGTCCAATTTTGAATATTATATTGTGAGACTCTGGCTTCTGTTGAAATCCTCTGAAGAATGTTGCATCTTTTGTTTATTTGTTCTAGCAGGCAATCAACCTGGTTACGTTTATGTTATAAGTTCTTTCTCACCTTCTGTGAAGAGTGGCTCCAATGTTAGTTCAATTTTCAAAGCCTTCATTATACTCCTTTAGGTCCATCCCATGCGTGCATAACTCAGGGACGATTTGGGGATATACGCCAATTCGTACACAGATTTGAGGAATCTACTTTTCTAGCTCATTCCTCCTCAGGATACCCAATCCCTACACTCTCCAGATACCACAGGCCACATTTCCTGGAATCTTTAGTTAGAATCAGTGAGACAGACAGGTCCATAGTGAGCTTACCCCTTGCCCAGTGCTGAAAACCTGGTTTTTCTTTTTTGAAAGCAGAAAATGTTTCGTTTTTATTGTAGCAAAAGTAAACACAAACAAAAAGAATAAATAACCCAAAATTCCAGAAGTAACTACCATCAGTCTCTGCTATGTATCATTTTTGGATTTTATCTATAACAAATAAATAATTTTAAAAATAATGAGGTATACAGTCAATTCTTGTTATTCACGGTAGTTATATAAAGTTGCCACAAACATTGAATTGGTGAATACTAAACCACTGTTCCTAGGGGAAATACAGAGTTAGTTTTTTGTGAGCCTCTGATCACAATGTTTTGGTCACTCATCAATACCTAACTTTATTTTATGTGAATTTCTGTTTAACGATACCTTATTTAATATATAATGTTGATTTATTAACATGCACTCAGAGCCAGTAACACTATAGCTTATTCCTGAATGAGCTCATCTCATACATGTATTTTCCCCATAAGGCACATCACAGCCTTCTTTTTTTTTTTTTAAAGATTTTATTTATTTATTTGTCAGAGAGAGAGACAGCGAGAGAGGGGACACAAGCAGGGGGAGTGGGAGAGGGAGAAGCCGGCTTCCTGCTGAGCAATGAGCCAGATGTGGGACTCGATCCCAGGACCCCAGGATCATGACCTGAGCCAAAGGCAGACGCTTAACCATCTGAGCCACCCAGGCGCCCCTCATCACAGCCTTCTTATGCTCAGGAATACTAGATAGTACTTCAACACTGTGCTTGGGAACCATTTTATTTTATTTTATTTTATTTTATTCTGTTGTTTATTTTTATCTCTTTAAAAAAATTATGTATTTTAGAGAGAGAGAGCAAGAGAATGAACCAGGAGAAGGGCAGAAGGAGAGGGAGAGAAATCTTCAAGCAGACTCCCCCTGAGCTCAGAGCCTGACGCGATCTGGGGCTCAATCCCAGGACCCTGAGATCATGACCTGGGCTGAAATCAAGAGTTAGACACTCAACTGACTGAGCCACCCAGGTGCTCCGGGAGCTATTTTAAATAGTGAAATCACCAAGAAAAAGCACAAAAATGCAAAAACCTTGGCACTAAATAGACCTTGAAAAGAATACTTGTTTACAGTTTGAAGGCTGAAACAAAAAGAGCAGAGCATCACCTTGTTCAACCTTAGCTGGCAACATGCATATCTGGTGACTCAAATTTGTCACATGTCTGCAAATGACCATAAAAGCATCACAAGTGTTAATTTTGGGATTACAAATAAATTTTAGTGAGTAGGCAAATTCACAAATAAGGAGTATGGAATATTGAGGATTGACTGTAATTTATATACCATATAATTAACCTATTTAAAGTGTACAGTGCAGTGTTTTTAGTATATTCAAAGGGTTGTGTAAAGTTTGCCACAATGAATTTTAGAACATTTCATCATACCCCAAAAGTACTTACCCATTAGCAGCCAATTCCTTTTTCTTCCACCCCCCAACCCTAGGCAACCATTAACCAGTTTCTCTGTCTATAGATTTGCCTATTCTGGACATTTCATATAAATTGGATCATGACCTTTTGTGACTGGCTTTTTTCATTTAGCATAATGTTTTCAAAGTTCATTGACCTTGTAGCATATAGCAGTACTTTATTCCTCTCATTAGATAACATTCCATTTTATGCATATAGCACATTTTATTTATTCATTCATCAATTGATGGACATTTGGATTGTTCCTACTTTTTGGCTATTATGAATAATGTTGCTGTGAGTATTTGCATACAAGTTTTTCTGTGGATATGTGTTTTCATTTCTCTTGAGTATACCAAGGAGTGGAATTGCTGGGAATATGGGGACTCTATGCTTAACCTTTTGAAGAACTGCCAAACTGTTTTCCAAAGCGGCTGCACTGTTTTTCATTCCTTCCAACAGTGTATAAGGGTTCTAATTTCTTCACATCCTCACCAGCACTTAATGTCTTTTTAATTATAGCTATATTAATGGGTGTGAAGTGGTATCTCATCATGGTTTTGATATATATTTTCCTGATGGTTAATAGTGAGCATCTTTTTTTTTTTTTTTTTTAAGATTTTATTTATTTATTTATTTGACAGAGAGCTAGAGGGAGAGCACAAGTAGGCAGAGCAGCAGGCAGAGGGAGAGGGAGAAGCAGGCTCTCTGCTGAGCGGGGAGCCTGACGCGTGGCCCAATCCCAGGATCCTGGGATCATGACTTGAGCTGACGATGGACACTTAACTGACTGAGCCACCCAGGTGCCCCATTAGTGAGCATCTTTTCATGTCTCATTGGCTACTTGTATTCTTTGGAAAACTGCTTATTAGATTATCTGCCCAATTTGTAATTGAGTTATTTGTCTTTTGATTATTGAGTTTGTGAATTCTTAATATATTCTCCATACAAGTCCCTTATTAGTTACATGATTTACAAATGTTTTCTCCCATTTTGTAGGCTCTCCTTTTCTTTTCTTGATGGTATCCTTTGTAGCACAAAAGTTTTTAGTTTTGAAGAAGTCTGAGTTACTTTTTCTTTTGTGGATTGTGCTTTTGATGTCCTATCTAAGAAACCACCTAATGCAGGATCATGAAGATTTACTCTTATGTGTTCCTCGAAGAATTTTATATCTCTTGCATTTAGGTCTGTGATCCATTTTGAATTAATTTTCATATGTGGTATAAGGTGGGAATTGAGCTTCATTCTTTTGCATGTGAATAGCCAGTTGTCCCAACATCATTTGTTGAAATGCTTATCCATTGAACACTCTTGCCAAAAATCAGTTGATTGTAAATATAATGGTTTATTTCTGAACTGTCAGTTCTGTTCCATTGATCTATAAATCTATTCTTTTTTTTTTTTTTTTAAGTCTGTTCTTATGCCAGTACCACACTATCTTGATTACTGTAGCTTTGTAGTAAGTATTGGAATTGGGAAGAGTGATTCCTCCAACTATGTTCTTCTGTTTCAAAACCATCTTAGCTATTCTGGGTCCCTTGCATTTGAATTTAAGGATCACCCTGTCAACTTCTATGAGAAGTCATCTGAAATTTTGATGGAGATTGCATTAAATCTGTTGATCATTTTGGGGAGTACTGCCATCTTATCTGTCCTTTCATGTCTTTTCATTCATTTAGGCCTTCTTTAATTTCTTCCAACAATGTTTTGTAGGTTTTAGAGTACAAAATTTACACCAACTTTGTTAATTTTAAGTAATTTTTTGATGGTATTTTTAATGGATTTTTCCATTAATTTCATTTTCAGATTGTTCATTGCAAGTATAAAGAAATACAATTGATTTTTGTATACTGATCTTATATCCTGCAACTTTGCTAAAAGATACATAACTTTTAAGCTAAAAAAAGTAATACTAAGCTTTCATTCTAAAAGTTAGAGATCATAATTTGACCCATAACAAAGTAGGTATACCAAGTTATGTCATAAGGCTTTTCTAGTAATATGGGGGAAAATTAGCTCCAGTTTCCTCCCTTCCATGTCAGTTGATGTTATAATATTTTTAGGTTCTTATTTGGGCTCACACCCACCTAAAGAGTTGTGTACATTGAAAATGATTACAGATTTGAGATAATAAGGGATCTGGCTTTATATCCTGGATTCAGTCCTAAGCAAACTCAGAGTGATTTCAAGTGACCACTTTAGAAGAACTTTCATTCTGAACATTTTGATTTGTTATGAATTCACCCACGTTTTTGACCTGAGTCATTTCCTTTGGTTTATTTCTTCTGAATCTGCTTCTTTCGTTCTTTTTTAATTTATTTTATTTTATTGATTTTTTAATTGTTTGATTTTATCCAGTTGAGGTTAAGTTTGCAGGAGAAAAGAAACAATAGATGAAAATATCAAAAGCACATACAGGGCTAGCTTTTGGCAATTTTGTCACTTTGTGTGACTGGACTTCTAACAGGTTTATGATGACTATCAATCAAAATTGAACACTGAATTCCAAATTCCACTGACACTCCAATCTGGAGTAGATCATGAAGAAGACAAGAAAGAGGTACGTAATGATAATTGCTTTTGGACACCAGTATTTCTACTATAATAGTATATGTGAAATTGGGAATGATTTACTGTGTTCTTACACATTAAGAGCCTGTACTACAAATTCCATGGATAAAGGCAAAGAAGTTACTTGAGTCATTATAATGTGTTGAACTTTTCTTCCAAGCTTCTAGGATTTAGGATTCCTTGATGTGAAATCAGAGATCTGATCCTAGTGAATTTTTCCCATTAGTGTGTATTTGTCACAATAACTTAAAGGAAGGGTTTTAACTTACGACTTCCCTTTTTTTTTTTTTCCTTCTTAATCTAAAGTTGGTTTAAACCAACAGTTTTTAACACTGCCCATGTGCCAGAATCAGATGTGGAGCTTTTTTCAAAATACAAATGCCTGAACCCAAACAGATATACTGATCAGTATATGAAAAGGTAGGTTTGGGGCATCTGTGTTTTTAAAAAAATACCACTGATGCTTGTGATGGCCTCAGCGTTAAGAACCAGCTATTAGACTTTTAATAATTTTTACCAAAAGGACATAAGCTACTCAAAGGGCAAAAACATGTCTATGTGTACACCAGTGCCCTTTAAGTAGCTTGTGTCCTTAAAAGAGAATATATAAACCCAGAGAATATATAAACCCACAGGGCAATAGCACTTGCTTTTATTATACTTGCTCCCCTTTTTCTGGGCGGGGGGGTGGGGCAGAGGGAGAGGGAGAGAGAGAATCCCAAGCAGGCTCACGCCCAGCACAAGCCTGATGTGGGCCTTGATCTTACAACCCTGAGATCATGACTTGAGCTGAAATCAAGAGTCGGACGCTTAACCGCCTAAGCCACTCAGGAGCCCCTGTACTTGTTCCCTTTGAAAGTATGATGCTCAGATATTCCTCAGTCCTTCTTCCCTCTTTATTACCATATGAGGCTAGGCTTAGAGTATACTTTTGTGATGTGGTTTTAATTTTGAAAATTTAAAGTGACTGTTGTTCTTTTATAAAATACCTCTCACATTCTTTCTTTGGCCCTGCTTCTATAGTACTTATTATTTGGAAATACAGAGTAAATATAGTAATATATCTTATCATATCAAATACAGTCATTTCCTCAAGTGCTGTTGACAAAGGACTATACTAAGGGCAAACTAAATTAGTACTTCTTTCTCTGATTTGTCTGTAATATCTAATAGCTGTGTGCTTGAGAATACAAAGCTCTTGCTGTATGTGATATTATCCTAGGTCACCATAAAATAGGAGGAAATTAAGGACTTAATTCGATGTGACTTTTGTATCATCTAGCATATCTATGGCACAAGGATATTCTCCTTCCTTGGAAAGTCCTCTGAGAGCAGAATCTTAACAGTTTTTTTTTTATTATGTTATGTTAGTCACCATACGGTACATCATTAGTTTTTGATGTAGTGTTCCATGATTCGTTGTTTGCGTATAACACCCAGTGCTCCATGCAGTACATGCCCTCCTTAATACGCATCACCAGACTAGCCCATCTCCCCACCCCCCTCCCCTCTGAAACCCTCAGTTTGTTTCCCGGAGTCCATAGTCTCTCAACAATTTTAACTTCTTTCCTTTAGCGTCAAAAGCAATACCTGAGATATAGACGACTTTTCATGGATATTGAGAGAGAACAAGTAAAAGAACAACAAAGACAAAAAGAACATCAGAGGAAAGTTGAAAAGTAAGTTCTTTGATCCTTACTATGAGCCTTAAATTACCAGTTAAGATGATCTTGAAAGCTAAGTTTTAGAAATAATCAGGCAGTGGTTTTGCCTTCTGATCCATAGTGGAAACAATGGTTTTTTATCTGGATAGACATATGAAAGGTAGTTAAGAGCTATGTTTTTTTAATAGACTTTTTTTTTTTGAACAGTTGTAAGATTACAGCAAATTAAGCAGAAAGTACAGAGAGTTTTATTTACCCCCTTGTGGTATACGTGGACTGCCTCATCCACTGTAAACATCCTGCATCACAGTGGTACAGTTGTTACAACTGGTAAACTTCCATTAACACATTGTAATCCATATTTTACTTTGGGATGGACTCTTGGTGTTATACATTCTTCTAGATTTTGACAAATGGATAATGACTTGTATCCACATGATATAATATCATACAGAATAGTTTGCCCTAAAAATGCTTCATGCTCTACCTATTCATCTTTCTCTCCTCCCAGCCCATGGCAACTACTGATCTTTTTATTGTCTCCATTGTTTTGCCATTTCCAGAATGTCATATAGTTGGCATACAATATGTAGCCTTCTCAAATTGTCTATCTTCCACTTAGTAATATGCATTTAAGTTTCCTCTAATAACTTTTCATGGTCTGACAGCTCATTTCTTTTTAGTGCTGAGTAATATTCTGTTGTCTGGTTGTACCACAGTTTTGTTTATCCATTCACATTCTGAAGGAATCTTGGTTTCTTCAAAGATATGGCAGTTATGAATAAAGCTGCTTTAAATATCCATGTGCAAGATTCATGTGAGTGTATGTTTTCACCTCATTTGGGTAAATACCAAGTAGTATGTTTGCTAGATAATATGGTAAGAGTATGTTTACTTTTGAGAGAAACTGCCAAACTTTATTCCAAAGTGGCTGGGCCATTTTGCATTTCTGTCAGCAATGAACAAAAGTTCCTGTTGCTCCAGATCTTCTCCATCATTTGGTGTTGTCAGTGTTTTGGATTTTGGCCATTCTAACAGTTATGTAATAGTATCTCATTGTTGTTTTAATGTGCAGTTCCCTAATGACCTATGATGTGGAGTATCTTTTCATATGCTTATTAGCCATCTGTACATTTTCTTTGGTGAGGTGTCTCTTTAGGTCTTTGGCTCATTTTTTTAATTGGGTTATTTGTTTCCTTATTCTTCAATTTTAAGAGTTCTTGGTAGTTTTGGATAATAATCCTTTATCACATATTTTTTACAAATATTTTCCCTCATCTGTGGCTTTAATTCTCATTCTTTTGACACTGTCTTTTAGAGAGCAGAAAATTTTAATTTTAATGAAGTCCAGCTTGCAATTACTTTTTTTATGTTTCATGCCTTAGGTATTGTATCTAAAAAATTATTGCCATACTCAGAGTCACCTAGATTTTCTTTTTTTTTTTTTTAAGATTTTATTTATTTATTTGAGAGAGAGCGCGAGATAGAGAGCATGAGTGGGCTTTG